TTCCTCTATGAAGCCAGATTTTTCCACAATTCAATGGCATCTTGAACAACTCTATTATCTCTGGTGACTTTCTCTCAAATACATCATAATCTGGTGGCATAATGTGCCTAGGTGGTTCATTATTAGTCACCCAATGTCATTGTAACTCCCACACTGCTCCTTCGTCGCTCTCTGGATCACCGAGACGACGCGCAGTTACATCTGAGGCATGTAACTCACGGGTAACTAACCTCCCGTGATGAACGTGTGACTCTGAAATAAAGTCGCCTCCTCCAGCTTTCTCACTGTCAGCACCATCCGTGACTTGGATCCCCACGTGACACTTTGCTGTGTCATTCGTGTACAATGTTGTATTGACAATGTCGTTGAAGATCCCGCCATATGATTCCGCGGACTTACTATTGGCATTGATTTGTATGATAGGCATATTGCTATCATCAAAACTGATAGATATTCCCCCTATAGCTCTGATCCAATCTAATCCAAGAATCCCTGCAAGGAGGATTCTGTCCGTCGCTACAGTGTTGCACCGACAGACTGCAACCAGCGGTTGATCAGTGACCAGTGCTTCTCTCAACACAACAGTCGACAGGGCTTTAAAGTCGCCTGGTAGACTGATGTTATTCAATACTTGAGATTGATATGACTTTTGAAATATTGTGGTGATGGACCTCGTACGATCCGAACTTGGCTTCCCACTCAAGCCTGAAATGAATGACAAGATAGACATCGAGCATCCAGAATCAATGAGGAAATAATAACCCTCTAACTCGATGAGCAAGATACTAGAAGCTAAGCTTCTTACTTGCCTATCTCCTGGGTGGCTCTCCTGTGGTTGCCTCGAAGGACACACATTGGCTCTATAGCCATAACCACCACAGCTGTAACACTGATCATATCCATATTGAGGATAAGGAGTGCTACGAGATCCTTTTCCTCTGCCATGTCCCTTGGACTGGCCTTTTCCTTTTTGAGGTTGGTTCCCCTTGCCAAAGGACCACCTCTGATTCCAGCCTTTAGAAGATCTCCAGCCTTTAAAATTGCCCTTTCCTGGGGCGGCAACTACCGCGCTGGGTTCTAAGGAAGACCAGAGACCATTGCTCTGACGCACTGTTTGCGTCTGAGGCAGTGTATTCCAATAGGAGGTCGCCGCAATCCTCTCATGGGAGGCGGTATCGAGATCTCTGCATGCCAACACTGTGTTGTGTCGCACATCGGCTCCATAACAGTCCACGGTATCTTGGCCAATGCATGGCAATCAGCTTCTTGAAGCTTTGCTTCTCTCCTTGGCCGAAAGACCTATGGAGACGTAGCCAAATCTCTCGTTCGACTGCCTCATCAGTTAGAGATGGGGCGAAGCTTTGCTTAGAAAGGAGTCTATAAGCCTTTCCCGTCAGGCTGTTAATCAAGTTAGATCTCCTCTCCTGTGGGGTCCAGTTCTTTGAACGAGCAATCGAGCACCATCGCGCCTGCCACTCATCGAGCGACATCGAATCGGGCGCTTTCTCGCCACTGAAGAGTGCGAGCTTCGGAGCCTTAAAGCCTATATCCCCCCGCTAATTGAGAAGTCCTGTGCAGAAACAGGTGGGCGATTACATGGTGGAACACCTCTATCAGTCTGAGGTTGCTGAGGGACCACTGGCTCGTCGGTATCCGTGGAAACTCTTGGCTCCGGACGAGACGAGGAAGCTCCTTGAGGGTGTCTATTGCTGCTCCTTGTGAGAGGGCCACTATGCTGGACTTGCTGCTCAGATGTAGTGGGATGACGAACCGTAGTCGTTTTTGAGGGGCTATTCGGAATTAGCTGCGGCGGGGGCGACTGGGTCTCGTCGCCATGCACAAAGCGAGCAGTTAACCGCGCGTTAATGTTAGCCGCGGTGTCCAAAGCATTCCTCGGGGACACTTGGGGGCCACGATGGGTCTGGGCACCATGTGGAGGTTGCTGATCTCTCGAACTCGACATGCTGGGAGAGCAAGGGAATCGGCCGTGTCAGCCGCAGATCAATAATCGATAATTGGTACATTAGCTATTGTGCGCACACGCCACGCACAACGACCACTACATAGGCCGTGTTATTTTTGCTGAGGGGGCACCCAACGACACTGCTATGGTGAAAGACATGAAGTGAAATAGCACAAGTCGGCTACCCTCATAGGCCACGACCTCCATGACCTGTGCTATTCGAGAAACTCACGAGATCTGTCCATCTCGGGGACCTCGATGTATTCAGGTTTTTTGATGACTGGTGGCTAAAAAAATGATAGAAGAGCCATGGGCCTGTGTGTCTCTGTGAGGGACGATAGCATCAAGTGAGATGAATGAAATTCTTAAAATACGAGGCAGGTGACTAAAATCCAGGGAAAAAAATCGCTCGCCCGCGCTCGCCAAAATCTAAGACATTCGGCTAAATACAGGGACTCTGTGACGCGAAATTGGTTTATTACAAGCAGAAGAGGTTATTGCAAGCAGGGACTGCGAGAGCCATGCACAGCTTGTTATTCCAAGCAGCGCGATGTGCTTGGGATTACAAGTAACTGTTGTAACTTGCTTCGCCGGTAATATAAAATCTATTACGTACTGCGTCAACTTCATGTTTTCGTTGTCAAATGGAGCACAATCAAGGCACATTCGTGCTCTGTCCTTCAAAGCAGCAACACCAGGTATATCCCTCAATCAACTCGGAGCTGAACAGTATCCGCATATATCATGAAACATTTTTTACATTCATTTCGCAAAGGGATGTTCTCTTAGGAATGGCAGTTGACATGAAGAAGTATTGATATCCGTTATCACCGTATTGAGAGGTACACTAATACCCAGGTCACAAGCTGCAGACTTTGGGGTCCAATTCATACAAATCACCAGTGATCAGCCACTGGCCAGATTAAACCTGTGAGCTTCCTTGAGGTGTAGAGAATACTCATTCTACAGATGATTCCTCCTGTACTTCTTACTTTGCTCTTCGGATGATCGAGGACTTATGTTCCCTTCATTCTGCCAAGCGACGCTCGGAATAGATTCATTCCGGAATTGCATCGACGAGCAGCTTGCGCTCACCGAGCTTGCTTCATCACTGTTTGCTTCGTCGTCTGTCATTCTTCTTGCCAGTCACCATCGTCTATATCATCTGGGAGGCCTGAGTCATCAACTTATGGTGTGTAAGCACTGCTGACAACGATCGTATTTTATACTGCGCCGAGCTCGTAACATCCCGATTCTCCTGATGAATTGCTACCTTGTAATAGAGATTCCCCAAAGTTGACCGAGGCAGTTGCAGTTCTACCACTCCAGTGGGAACTACCTTCGAGGGATGCTATCGAGCGCACTCGTCCTAAAAACAGAGCATCTTATGCCCCACATGGCCGGCAATCCCCTGCAAAAGTTCACCATGCCTGGCATGCACGACAAGATAGAAAAGTCTGAGAAACAATCTTGTTGACATAATCACTCCTATCTTTCCCATAGGGAGTCCACATTCAATTGATATGTAACCATTAAGACATGATGTGTTTACGTCTCTCTCCAATGCTAGATTCCGAGTCTATGCCATCACTGTCGCCTGCATAAGTCTCCTGTCTTATCTGGTCCCGGTGAACAGAGACAGGAACTGCATGAAGGTCATTAACAATGCGAGCTGCGTTATCCTCATGTCACCTGCACGCGGCGCCGAAGCAGCGGAATGATACCGACCTAGAGCACCGACCCATCGCCTTGTTGTGCGGCCTCTACGGACAGTGTGGAGTCCCCGATCCTCTGGATGATATCTGATGTGGACGGCAAATGTTAGACAGGCATAAAGTGGCAAACTTACGGGTCCTGCGTGCCCCTAAGCACTTCCACTGCGTACCCATGAGAGCATGTCCCCCAGTCACCTAAGCCTCATGGTGTTCCCATTACAACCGAGAGATTTCTCCCTGAAGTCTCTGCAACTCCGCTCTGGTAGCCTCATGTTCTTCGTTCTATGATTGTGATAAAGATCACAATTTTAGTACAGTGGTTTTCCTTACCTGCCGAGCATTCATGCGCTTGCGACGCTCTCCTCTCTTGTTGCCCATCAAATCGGAGAAGCTCGATGATTCGGACACCAGGCTCACGTAACAAAAATTTTAGCGGATTCGGAAGCTCAACGTAACAGTACTTGTACCACATACATGAAACATGTTGAGCGAAAATGGTGAGACTTCATATTGGTCTACCTAAACTCCTCGCTAAGTACCTCTTGCTAAGCCTGCGGTGAGCTCAAGTTCGACACCCGACCGTCAAAGGAGAGCCCTTGGCACACTCGCTTGCTACTTCGAGATCTACTTCCGTCAGCGACACAATTACAATCGAAAGCTGGGGAGAGCAAACTCTCGGTAAGCCGTCGATGTGCTCAAAGCTGACACCCAGTGATACTAGGGAAAGCCCTTGGCACACTCGCTTCCTACTCCGAAGTTCACCTCCAGCAGTGAAAAAATGGGGAGAGCAAACTCTCGGTAAGCCTTCGATGTGCTCAAAGCTGACACCCAGTGATACTAGGGAAAGCCCTTGGCACACTCGCTTCCTACTCCGAGGTCTACATCTCCGCCGCATGTCTGCAACTGATGAACAATCTGGCGGTGAAATTGCGCGCGCCCCACTCATCGATTAGGTTTTCACTCGAATGAAAAATATGACGCGAGTTCGACTCTCCCTCGAATAGCTTCTCCTTGGCAGCCAGTGTGACCCGCCTTGTCATTGTTACTTATCGACTGGCAAGACTAGCAACCGAACTGTTTGAGAGCTTTCCGTATGTTGGGTGACACTGCTCGTCATTGAACAGCCGATAGATACCTGAGAGTCTCAGGCTGAGACATCATGCCTCAATGACCATAACACATCGAACATCACTGCGTGCACGTTTCATTCTGTAATAAAAACATACACCCTGTGTCAAGAAGCCAAGCTGGACCCTTTACCTTACAAAGAAAAAAACAACGACGATTCTTGCTAGTAGCAAGTCGCTACCACTTGGATTGGCGTCTGGAACTTCCGAAACGAAGCTCTCGCAGAAGTTTCCGACGAGAATCACGTAATATGCGTATCACATATCAATAATATAATATTGTGTAGAACGAACTTAGATGACTGATCGATAATTGGTGGTAGTACTATCATAAATAATATCAGCGCGCCACTGCGAGTACAATCCCCTCACATCCTGGCTCGCCTGGGGATGTGGGTACGTTTTCCAGATCCCAACATCCCCAACATCCCCAACGTCCTATATTCAATAACCATTAGTTCGCACTTAGAACATTGAGTTACTTAGTTAACTCTTTCCGATTCTCCAAAAGTGCGTTACTTGGAGTGATATGAGGAGGGTCATACTGCTGGAAAACGTAGAACATCTTTGCGCTTTGATTTTTCTCTTCGCTCGCTTCGCTCGCGAAGCCCTTTCCCATTCTTGGTATATCCCCCATGCGCTATAGCGAGCTTGCGATAACAAGGTCTGCTTGATATTACAGGACTTGCTTGATTTAACAATGACTGCTTGGATTAGCCCTGCCACGCTGTGACGCGTCCTCTATTGCATGCGGCTATTCGGGACTCTGGCTCACTGGAGTAATGTCCCGAGCAATACGCTGCAATTGAGTCAGCATTGTTGACAGAGATCGTGGCAGCTGTACGATCTCCAGATTGATCATCATATTCACTCCGGTGGTTACTATAAAGTGGTGCATTTTCCACGGATTCTGGGATCTATCAACGAGCTACCATAGCAAGAGACCTGGCTACATGTCAGAAACTTCGTGAGATGGGTGGTTCGAGGTATGATGGTTTTGAGCAAGAGTTGCAGGATTTGGAATGTAAGGAATAGATACGGCCGTTAACTCTGACTGAAGTATCTGAGGATTTTCCTGTGGCGGGCACTTTTTGTGTTGGCACTCCGTCCAGATTAAATGTCCGAACCTGGCGATGCTCGTGGTATCAATGCTCGGCCCGACTCTGTGATGTCAGCATGTTACGCAAAGATCTTAACGCTATCCCACTTTGGATCAGCCATTGCTCAATATTGCGTATTGCTGGGAAGCTTTTCGCGGGTTAATGATCTGCGACGTAACGCTGCTGCTTCCTCGGATGTGGTGGCTCGAGGTTGCGAGATATTCCCATGACCTGCATGGCAAACTGTACGGAAGAGCTGCAAGGAGAGCTGCTCCTATACGTGGGATATGACGTGACTTTCACTGGAAGAGATGAAGTCAACGAATCCGATCTTTCAATGGAGACTGTCAGGGATGTGGAGCTACGCAACAAGTAGCTAATAGGGAGTGTGCGATTTCGTCTGCGCCGCCGGTTTGTCCCGTGCGTTTTTAAAATGCCGACCTGGCCCGTTTGCTATTGCTAACGTCGACAGTAGCAGACCATATTAGTTTGTTTGTGAAGAGAGCGGCCAGGGAGAGACAGGTAAGTTTTACTTATTTTCTTTGGTTCGCAAACGCTTATGCTAACGTGTTCATGTTCTCACTGTCTTCGGGAGCTCTATATCAACTACTGGTGGGAGAAGGAAGAGCGCGTCATTGGGAAGGTGGGCAGGGGGGGCAGCTACAAGTAGTGCATTAACAATTTCTGCCAGCCACAATACTTTATCGTTTAACTGCAATGGGCGAATTTTGCATTTTGCGCGGGCGAGGTTACTTGACGATGCTGACATATCACGGGGAACTTTAGAACTACAACGTATTCCGGTCTCTGAACACAATACGAGCCTTTAGCATAGTATGGAAGCGGCAGAGCTCCTCTAGGAGCCATTTGTTCAGGGCAGTCAGAAAGAATTACTTCAAAGCAGAGCCGTGCGAGAGGAAATGAATGTAGCGAAACAATGGCCACCAGCGGATAGGTCTCTTCTGCTTTCTCTCGGTAAACAACAATCGAATGGAATGATGATTAAGACTATTCATTGCCATCCTTACCGGATCGATTAATACCACCAACCAAGCGAA